AGATCTTAAAAATTGGGGGGGCAGCCCGAAAATAGGGGGGGAGACACCAATAATGGGGGGGAGACGCCAAAAATGGGGGAGGGACCCCAAAAATGAGGAGGCGAGACCCCCAAAATTGGTGGGGGGAACAAAAAATGGGGTGGAGATCCTAAAAATTGGGGAGGACCCCAAAAAATGGGGGGGGGAACCCAAAAATGGGAGGGAGACCCCCAAAAAAATGGGGGGATGACCCCAAAAATGGGTGGGGGCCAGACTAAAAATGGGTGGGAGAGCCGAAAAATTGAGGGGGACCCCGAAAATGTGGGGGGGCAACCCAAAAATAGGGTGGGGGCATCCAAAAAAATGGGTGGACCCCAAGAATAGGGGGGGGACCCTAAAAACGGGGTAGCCCCGAAATATTGGGGGGGGAAGATCCTAAAAATGGGGAGGGAGACCCCCCAAAAAAAGGGGGAGGACACCTTAAAAATGAGGGGGACCCCCAAAAATGGGGGGAGACCCCAAGAGTGAACAGGTCCCAAAATCTGGGGGGGTTTGAGCCAAAAACGGGGGTCCCAAAACCCAAAAAGGACCCAAATTTTGGGGGGGGGTGTGGAAAACTGGGGAGAGCCCAAATTTGGGGAGGGGGATTTGGGGGGGCACCCCAATAATTGCTGTCCCCCCCCCCCCAGGGCTCCTGGCTGATGGTCTGACCCTGCCGGGGACCCCCCAAAATCCCGAGGGGGGCGCGGGGGGGGCTCCCTGAGGGGGGGGCTCCCCCCAAAAACCAGCAACGACCCCTTCCCCCCCCCGCTTTGGCACCCCAAAATTGGGGCGACCCCCTCCCCAAACCCGCAATTTTTTGGGGGGCTGCACCAAAAGCCATCACCTGACCCCCCCCCAAAAAAAAACCTCCTTGGGGGGGGTCCCCCCCTCCACCGTGGCACCCCCAAATTTACCCAACTCCCCCCCCAAAATCCTCCCCTCAGGGACCCCTCCCCCAATTTATCAACCCCCCCAAAAAAATCCCGATTTTGGGGACCCCCCCACCCCAAATTTGGTGCTTTTGGGGGTCCCACCCCCCAAATTTGTAGATTTAGGGGTCCCACCCCCCCAATTTGGTGCTTTTGGGGGTCCCACCCCCAAATTTGGAGATTTGGGGGTTCCACCCCCCCAATTCGGTGCTTTTGGGGGTCCCACCCCCCAAATTTTGGTGCTTTTGGGGGTCCCACCCCCCGAAATTTGGTGATTTGGGGGTCCCACCCCCCCAATTTGGTGCTTTTGGGGGTCCCACCCCCTAAATTTGGAGATTTGGGGGTACCACCCCCCCCAATTCGGTGTTTTTGGGGGTCCACCCCCCCAAATTTTGGTGCTTTTGGGGGTCCCACCCCCCAAATTTGGTGCTTTGGGGGTCCCACACCCCGAAATTTGGTGATTTGGGGGTCCCACCCCCCCAATTTGGTGCTTTTGGGGGTCCCACCCCCCAAATTTGGTGCTTTGGGGGTCCCACACCCTTAAATTTGGTGATTTGGGGGTCCCACCCCCCCAATTTGGTGGGGGGGGGGGTCCCACCCCCCAGATTCGGTGCTAAAATCGCCCCTTTTGGGGGGGGGGGCTTTGTTTCCCCTCTCCCCC